TGACTGGCTGGCAGACTGACTGACTGGCTGGCAGACTGGCTGGCTGGCAGACTGACTGACTGGCTGGCAGACTGGCTGGCAGACTGGCTGGCTGGCAGACTGGACTGGCTGGCAGACTGGCTGGCTGACTGGCTGGCAGACTGGCAGACTGGCTGGGACTGGCTGGCTGACTGGGACTGGCTGACTGGCTGACTGGCTGACTGGCTGACTGGCTGACTGGCTGACTGGCAGACTGACTGGCAGACTGACTGACTGCAGACTGACTGACTGACTGGCAGACTGGCAGACTGGCAGACTGACTGACTGGCAGACTGGCAGACTGGCAGACTGGGACTGGACTGACTGGCAGACTGGGACTGACTGGCAGACTGACTGACTGGCTGACTGGACTGACTGACTGGACTGACTGGCAGACTGAGACTGGCAGACTGGCAGACTGGCAGACTGACTGACTGGCAGACTGGCAGACTGGCAGACTGGCAGACTGGCTGACTGGCTGACTGGACTGGCAGACTGGCAGACTGGCAGACTGGCAGACTGGCAGACTGGCAGACTGGCAGACTGGCTGACTGGCAGACTGGCAGACTGGCAGACTGGCAGACTGGCACTGGCTGACTGGCTGACTGGCAGACTGGCAGACTGGCAGACTGACTGACTGGCACTGACTGAGACTGACTGGCAGACTGGACTGACTGGCACTGACTGACTGACTGGCACTGACTGACTGACTGACTGGCACTGACTGACTGGCAGACTGACTGGCAGACTGACTGGCAGACTGACTGGCAGACTGACTGGACTGACTGACTGGACTGGCAGACTGACTGGCAGACTGACTGGACTGACTGACTGCAGACTGGACTGGCAGACTGACTGGCAGACTGACTGACTGACTGGCAGACTGACTGGCACTGACTGGACTGACTGGCTGACTGACTGACTGCAGACTGACTGACTGCTGACTGACTGACTGGCAGACTGACTGACTGGCTGACTGACTGACTGACTGACTGACTGACTGGCAGACTGACTGACTGACTGACTGACTGGCAGACTGACTGACTGACTGACTGACTGGCAGACTGACTGACTGGCAGACTGACTGACTGGCAGACTGACTGACTGGCAGACTGACTGACTGGCAGACTGACTGACTGGCAGACTGACTGACTGGCAGACTGACTGACTGGCACTGACTGACTGACTGACTGGCACTGACTGGCAGACTGACTGACTGGCAGACTGACTGACTGGCAGACTGACTGACTGGCTGACTGACTGACTGACTGGACTGACTGGAGACTGGACTGACTGACTGACTGCAGACTGACTGACTGGCAGACTGACTGACTGGCAGACTGACTGACTGGCAGACTGACTGACTGGCAGACTGACTGACTGGCTGACTGGCAGACTGGCAGACTGGCAGACTGGCAGACTGGCAGACTGGCAGACTGGCAGACTGGCTGACTGGCTGACTGGCTGACTGGCAGACTGGCAGACTGGCAGACTGGCAGACTGGCAGACTGGCAGACTGGCTGACTGGACTGGCAGACTGGCTGACTGGCTGACTGGCAGACTGGCAGACTGGCAGACTGGCAGACTGGCAGACTGACTGGCAGACTGACTGGCAGACTGACTGGCAGACTGGCAGACTGGCAGACTGGCAGACTGGCAGACTGACTGACTGACTGGCAGACTGGCTGGCTGACTGGCAGACTGACTGGCTGGCTGACTGACTGGCAGACTGGCAGACTGACTGGCTGGCTGGCTGACTGGCAGACTGGCAGACTGACTGGCTGGCTGGCTGACTGGCAGACTGGCAGACTGGCTGGCTGGCTGGCTGGCTGGCTGGCTGGCTGGCTGGCTGGCTGGCTGGCTGGCTGGCTGGCTGGCTGGCTGGCTGCTGACTGACTGGCTGGCTGACTGGCTGACTGACTGACTGGCAGACTGACTGACTGGCAGACTGACTGACTGGCAGACTGACTGACTGGCAGACTGACTGACTGGCAGACTGACTGACTGGCTGACTGACTGACTGGCAGACTGACTGACTGGCAGACTGACTGACTGGCTGACTGACTGACTGGCTGACTGGCAGACTGACTGACTGACTGACTGGCAGACTGACTGACTGACTGACTGACTGGCAGACTGACTGACTGACTGGCAGACTGGCTGACTGACTGACTGACTGACTGACTGACTGACTGGCTGACTGACTGGCTGACTGGCTGGCTGACTGCTGGCTGGCTGACTGGCTGGCTGGCTGACTGGCTGACTGGCTGGCTGACTGGCTGGCTGGCTGACTGGGACTGGCTGGCTGACTGGCTGGCTGGCTGGCTGGCTGGCTGGCTGGCTGGCTGGCTGGCTGGCTGGCTGGCTGGCTGGCTGGCAGACTGACTGGCTGGCAGACTGACTGGCTGGCAGACTGACTGACTGGCTGGCAGACTGGCTGGCTGGCAGACTGACTGACTGGCTGGCAGACTGGCTGGCTGGC